TCACTAGTTAACATTTTTATATNATGTTTAGTTGGGATTCTATACTTATTAAACTTTCACTTATTTAAAAGTTAAATTCTTCAATCAAAATCAAGGGAAATCAACAGCTTATCCACAGACATTACTTAAAATCAACAATATAAATGAAAACAAATCCTTTATGAGACTTCATAGAACAATACTATAAAAATTCACTAGTTAACATTTTTATATGGCTTCCGATGCAACTTTTACCCATTCCTCATTAAAGCAATTAGAAGCAATACAGAAAAAAATATGACAATAACAATAATACTAAAATCTAAGACTGACAGTCAATGTTGGCCAAAATCAAGTATAGACACAAACCACAAGTTGATGGAACTAGACTGAGAATCTATTTTCAATGGTCTATAAATACATTTCTTTCTGACACAGAGGAAACTGTTGGCCTAAACAGAAGTAAGAAGACACTTCATTTCCCCCTCCCACCCCCAGCCCATGACTGTCTCTAGGCTATTCTACTCAGGGTCTTTACCCACAAGTAAAATGTACGGCCACAGGCTATGGCTTTTAACATGTCCAGATCATTATGCACCATTCACTCATGCAAACTGATGTCTAATTTTCCACATTCATTTAGAAACTCAATGTTAGAAACTTAAATGTATTAAGTGAGAGGAATCAATAGTGGTGTATTAATATACACTTGGAGGTGGGATTTTTATAAAGTGTGTGTGGAAGAGCTATTGAAAACTATTTCAGTTCTCTTCTCTTAGGCACACAGTAGGATCATATTATCTCATCCTCTTTGGAGTGTAGCTTTCTTGGCTGATGAGATGCAAGCTGAGGTGCACTGTTTGTGATTCACTATGTTCCCCTCCCTCTAAGCTCAGGTCAGGAAGGAGCACTCATCAGCCTGGGTTCCTGAGTCAGTTGTATGATAAGCAGTGCTCACTGACCTGCACTAGATGCATAGGATGAGTAAGGGGAGAAAAGTTTCCTTGTATTAAACCACCGAGGTTTTATGGCTGATCTTTACTGCAATATAACCTAACCTAGACTGTGGTGCAGGTGAAAGAAGAGACAGGAAGAGCCCTGTAACAGTCATTCTGGACATTGTTATTTTTCATGAACTTCACAGAAGAAAATTCTCATTCTATTTCTTATTCCAAATTATATCCAGCCACATGGCTCATCACAGCCCAGCAGAGGCTTTGCAATGAGATTAGCCAACTGAAGTACTCCAAGAATAAAATACCAGTATAGCGATGCCCAATATTGCTATATAAACTAACATTCCATTGCAAATTCCTGGGGAGAAATTTAAGTCTAAAGGTTAAAATTCTTTGCATATTAGGATCTAAAAATATAAATATCCAGAGGACTTTAAGTCTGAAATCAGATTTTCTTGTTCTTATGAGTTAAAGTTCAAAAAAAATTAAATTATGCTCTAATTTTGTATTCTGCTCAGTCTACCATTTGCAATGCCAAGAAAGAATCAATGTTTCCTGGTTTTCTGCAGCGTCAGCTGTCTTTCCTGGGATGGGAATGTTTCTTTCAGGGCCTCAGAAGCTAAAGAAGCCTCCTGTGGGACCCACTTTATCATGAGCCTCCTGAAGAGTTAACAGAATATACTAGATTGACACAGAATCTCCCCAAACACCCGCTGAAGAAATAAAAAAGTAATCACCTAGTACATAAAGTCATTATTCCAGAAAAAAGAAAAATCCCAAGATCTCAAAATTTGATATTGACAAAGATCATAGCAGACTCGCAGCAATATCATCTAAGATGGGGTAAGCTTTAGAAGGAAATTTGATCTCAGTCTCACCAGAATGCCAGTCAGGTTTGGTTATCTATTACCTGTGCAAATAGCACATCTGCTAGAATTAGAGATGGAGGTGAATGGTGAAATTTACCTATGCAAACTGTCTCCTATCTCAGAGAATGGCATTTGAGATAATACTGTGTTCTTACCTTCATAACTGATAAAACTTGCCATTTTGCCTATTTAAAGCCTCTCAATGCTCACACATCTGGTACCCAGATACCGCAAGGAGAGTAGGTCCCACCTAGAGACAGGCCTTGCACTGTCTTTTCGGAGGGAGCACTTTCAGCCCAGTATGCCAGGGACTATTCCCACTGTCTCTTGCCATGAAGTTAATTAGGCCTGTGAATCATAGCTCCCTGGGAAGGTTTTCCCCTATCCTCATGTTTGTTTAAATGTCCTTTTTTTTTTCTTTCTCTCTATAATCTGATTCTTCCTCAGCTAGCCCCACTTACCAGGACTTTTGCAGCCTACAAGCGCCTTCAGTGTTTCCTGCTAAGCCTTCCTCTGCACATCAGGGCCAGGGCTGTGTCGTTAAAAGTCAAGCAGCTAAGCCATTCATCCTCCTTTGCAATAAATACAGCCAAGTGTTATCTTCTACATAAAGAAATTATACTTATCAATTAATAACCCACAACATCCTTAAAAATAAGCAGAAAACATAGAAAATTCCTAGAACAAATAAATGGCTAGTAAGTATATTAAAATGTTTTTTCTAATACAATGTATATAGTAACAAAAATGTAATAAAATTCTTATACATTTAGAAATATTAAGAAAATTTCTTTTCAGTGTTGAGGAGGGATGTGAGCATGCAAAATACTGTAAATTGGTATGAGTACACGGGTGAAATAACTGAATAACTGAATAAATGTATAGAAGCTTGCCCAAAGCTTTTTGACAGTATATGCATCAAATGTTTTAAAAGTGTTATCCACACTAAAAGTGTTTCAAAAGTGCTTGCATGTGTTATCTCAGTAATTCAGCTTCTAGGAATCTATTTGTTACTGTTGTTCAGTCACTAAGAGTCGTGTCTGACTCTTTGTGACCCATGGACTGCAGCACACCAGGCTTCCCTGTCTATCACTGGCTCCCGGAGCTTGCTCAAATCATGTCCATTGAGTCAGTAATGCTATCTATCTCATCCTCTGCTGACCTCTTCTTTGGCTTTCCATGTTTCCCAGCATCGGGGTCTTTTCCAATGAGTCAGCTCTTCTCATCAGGTGGCCAAAGAATTGGAGCTTCAGCTTCAGCATCAGTTGTTGCAATGAATATTCAGGACTGATTTCCTTTAGGATAAAAAAGGGAAGATAAAAAATAATATGTTTAATATGACCCTCACAAATACACATAGAAAATATACTAGAAAGGAAATGCACCAAAATGTAATAAATGTTTACATCTGGTTTGAAATTTAAAGTATTATTTTCAATATCCTTTTTATATTTTCTATAATGAATATTTATGCGTGTGTGCTAAGTCGCTTCAGGCGTGTTTAATTCCTTGCGACGCTATGGACTATAGCCTGCCAGTCTCCTCTCTCCATGGGATTCTCCAGGCAAGAATGCTGGAGTAGGTTGCCATTCCCTTCTCCAGAGGATCTTTCCGACCCAGGGATCCAAACCAGGTCTCATGTCTCCTGCCTTGGCAGGCGGGTTCTTTACTACTAGCACTACCTGGGAAGCCCAGTGAATATTTATAACCAGAAAGAAAAGCAGAACATGGTTTTTAATTAAAAAAAAAAAAAAAACTTGGCTCTGCTTTTTACTTTGTAGTCTGAAAAAGAGACTTAGAAAATATATATTTAATTACATTCCCACCAACAGTGTAAGCTTTTATTGCTATTGTTTAGTCGCTCGGTAGTGTCCCACTCTTTTGAGACCCCATGGGCTGTAGCCCACCAGGTTCCTCCATCCATGGGATTTCCTAGGCAAAAATACTGGAGTGGATTGCCACTTCCTATTCCAGGGAATCTTCTCGACCCAGGGATAGAACCCACATCTCCTGCAAGTTTCCTACATTGCAGGCGGAGTCTTCACCGCTGAGCTACCAGGGAGGCCAACAGTATAAGAGGGTTCCCTTTTCTCCACATGCTCCTCAGCATTTATTGTTTGTAGATTTTTTTGATAGCCATTCTGACCAGTGTGAAGTGATACCCCATTGTAGTTTTGATTTGCATTTCTCTAATAATTAGTGATGTTTTTATTAGCATCTTTTCATGCGTGTGTTTGTCTTCTTTGGGGAAATATCTATTGAGGTCTTCTGCCCATTTTTTGATTAGGCAGTTTGTGTTTTTTTGACATTGAGTTGCATGAGCTGTTTGTATATTTTGGCGATTAATCCCTTGTCAGTTGTTTCATTAACAAATATTTTCTCCCGTTCTGAGGGTTGTCTTTTCATCTTGTTCATGGTTTCCTTAGTTATGCAAAGTCTTTTAAGTTTAATTAGGTCCCATTTGTTTATTTTTGGTTTTAGTATGGGTATACAATGGAATATTACTCAACTGTAAGGAGTGAAATAATGTCATTTGCAGACACATGGATGAACCTAGAGACTGTCAAAGAGAGGCAAGTTAAGTCAGAAAGAGAAAAACAAATATCATATATTGACACATATATGTGGAATCTAGGGGAAAAATGGTATAGATGATCTTATTTGCAAAGCAGAAATAGAGACACAGACATAGAGAACAAATGTATGAATACCAAGGTGGGGAGGGAGGAGGGAGTGACATATATACATTATATACATTTGCATTTCCCTTGTCTGACATATATACATATATATGTATATTGACATATATACACTACTATGTATAAAATAGATAAATATTGAGAACTTACTGTATAGCACCGGGAACTCTACTTGGAGTTCTGTGGTGATCCAAATGGGAAGGAAATCCAAAAAAAAAGAGGAAATATATGTATATGTATGGCTGATTCCCTTGGCTGTACAGCAGAAACTGNAAAAAAAAAAAAATAAAAGCTTTGGGATCAAAAAAAAAAAAAAAAAAGAAAATACATATTTAGTCAAAGCGAAAAAGAGTAGGATCAATACATACTTCTTCCTTTTCTCTTTGCTCATCTCTCTGCCTCTCCTCATGCATTTTTTCTGCATTTTCTCACTCCTTATGCTTTACATAGCAGTAAAATATAGACAGAAGATGAATAAGCCTTCTACAGAATATAATTTTATTGGTTCCAAAGATACTTGGGGTTAATTCTTTCATAAAATACTTCAGGTTATGACAAGAACTCAAAGAGACCACAACGCTAATGGATAATGGAAGGTCTTCTAGCATACAAAATATCCCTTCCCCCTTAGCTAACATTCTTGAAACCAGCCACAGGGTAACCTATTACAAGGCTTTCTCTGTGTTAAACTGGAGGGTGTAAAATTCCAGGTCCCTTCATTTTAGCAGTTGAGTGGTCAGAGGAAAATTATTGCTTCCTTTATTTCATGGCCCCAGTGAGATGCAGCTTGTCCCCGGGATGTGCAGCTGAAAAGTCGATGCCAGATGGCTCAGCAGGAGACAGGTCTAACGGTTCTGTGTTGTTCTCCATCTCCCCCAGAGGAGGGCTATGCAGAGCGGGGTGCTCAGGATGGTCACAACCAGAGATTAACAATAGCACTGGAGAGTCTTCACAGTGTGCTGAAGCCTGTTTTATGTGCATTGTCTCCTGAAATCACAACAACCTGTAAGGTAGACACTATTATTATGTTATGCAACATACATGCCACAGGTGTAGATAAATAAATTTCCTGAAATCAGAGAGCCTAGAGATGCAAGACCTAGAATTTGAATCCATGCCTGCTAGACTCTAAAGTCAGTGCTTAAAGGCTAATGCCATTGGGTGAAGTGTCAGTAACAAGAAATAATAGTTCAATATCTCTCAACACATCAGTGAAACCTCTGACGCATCCAGATGGGCCAAGGCCTCCTCTGAAAACATTTTCTAGCAGTCTCTTTCACTGCAGCTTCCACAAGAAAATTAGACTCTACCAAAAAGTGATTTGAATATTATATTCTCATTTCTTCCAAAGATGGTGGCATAGAATAACTAGTAATATTCTAGATGCAAAGAAGGGAAGTTATTCATTACATACAATGGATGCCTTAGGGCATTAGGGCTAATTTCACATCTCTCTTTCTCACTCTGTTTTTCTCTCTATTTTTTCCTTTCTCTCCTGAGAAAACTGCATGGGTAACAAGCCTATACCACTATTCTCAGCTGAATCCTCCATAGTTCCATAAGCAATGCCTGAGATGGAGGTATTTTATTCAGAACTTCATGTTGATGTAAAAGGATAAATGCTATATTGTATATTGCTACTCCACTTTCAATCTAAGCAACCATTCATAACACCACAAACTACAAATAATATAGAGGATGCTTCTGGTATTTGCTCTAACCTTTCTTATAAAGGGATAGGTAATACTATAGCCCATGGAACTCTGCTCGATGTTGTGTGGCAACCTGGATGGGAGGGGAGTTTGGGGGAGAATGGATACATGTGTATGTATGGCTGGGTCCCTTGACTGTTCACCTGAAACTATCACAACATTGTTTGTTATTCAGCTATACCCCAACACAAAATAAAAGTTTTTAAAAAATAAAAATAAAAGGATAGGTAAATCCTGAATGAGAGGATCACAGTGGGAGTCCTTGAGCTCTCCTGTCTAGATGTTCTTCTTTATTTATTTTATTCTTCTTTGCTTGGTGGCCCTCTTTGGAGCTTCCCATTCTCTACTGGAGAATGGTTTACACATTATTACTTATGTTAATGTAACTACTCAGAATTCAAACTTTAATTACAGAATCCTCATCAATGCTATTTTATACCTCTAAGGAGTGCTACTTCTACTTGTTATTCATGAAATGAAGGTACTTGGAGTACTTTGTTTTGCTAGTTCCCAATAACTAGAACTTCCTTTTCTCTTTCTTTTTTCTCATTGTCCCTCTACCTTGCTTTTTTTTTTTTTTTCCAGAAAGAGATTAACATTCTGGTTAAGTAGTAGCTGGAAAATCTTTCCCTTTGTAGAACTTCCTTTTCTCTTTCTTTTTTCTCATTGTCCCTCTACCTTGCTTTTTTTTTTTTTTTTCCAGAAAGAGATTAACATTCTGGTTAAGTAGTAGCTGGAAAATCTTTCCCTTTGATACAAATGCCCCCATGGCTTAACGAGTTTTGTGGCTCTTGGCTAGATGCAATAATTTGGTTGCTTCATACTGGCTTTCATTTAAGCAAAACCAGCATTGTTAGCTATCATCGAATGTTTGATGTTCCATAAAATATCCTCATGCTAAATGGTTCAATGCCAAAAACATCCTTTTTCCAAACAAAACTGTTTAAGTTATGTTGGCCTTTTCATGGCAAAGAAAATAGGCATGACATTCTTGAAGTGTTTCCAATGAAGTTTGTGGGATGTCTTGTTGACTGCAATCAGGGTTGAGTGGTCTAAACAGCAGCAAGACTGGTGACAACGTGAGAATTGTCACAAGGCAGCCTAAGTCCTCTTGTTTTTCCCTCTCTGTAGAAAAACAGTACCTGATACTGTAGAATGATGCCAGAATTCATGAACTCTTTCTTGGATTTATCCTCTCATAAACCTCCAGTCACAGGAAGGTGGTGATTAAGAAGATGGGCATTAGAGTCAGAGGATTCAAGCGTAGCTCCACCATTCCTAGGCAATGATACTACCACCTGGGAAGCTGGGAAACTTGAGGAGACATGGGAGCACTTAGCACAGTACCTGCACAAAGACATGGTAATAATCATTCTAATTGTAAGCAAAATTGACAATCACTGACAATAATAAACCACCTCACAATGATCCCATGAAGTAGATACAATTATAATTATTTTCATTTTATAGGTGAGAAAATTATGGTGAAGAGAAATTAAGTAACTTGTCCAAGGTCACACAGCCTGTGCCGGAAGATAACTTCTCCTACCTAATCAAGGGAATCTATCAAGCACTAACAATAAACATTAGTCTAAATGGCAAAACTTTAGAAGCATACCTGGTAACATGAGATGAGGATGTCTACAAAATCAAACTGGAATTCCTCAAAGGAATAAAAGAAAAGAGGTATCAGAGCTAGAAAAGAAGATGCAAAATTTTAACTAGTAAACCATATAATTACCTTCCTAAAATATTCAAAAGAACCTTCAGATAACATAGAATTAAGAGAATTCAGATTATTTGACTTGAGATTGACGGACAAAAAGCAATAGCAATTTAAACACTAGCAATAACAAATAGGAAATACAATTCAAAAATTTTAATTAAGACATTTATGGAGAATATCACAAAAACTATGTTAAAGAACATAACATTAATATGGTACAAAAATACAATTGGGATATATATACAAATGACACTGACCTTTGGAAAGAAAAGAGAATGGGCCAGGACAAAGGAAACAGAGAGACTTTAATGCTTTATTTAAAAAAGAAAAAAACATTAAGTATGTAATGGCAGGACATACTTGAAGTAATGAAAGAGAATAAACTACGACCTAGATTACTCTACCCAGCAAGGATCTCATTCAGATATGAAGGAGAACTCAAAAGCTTTACAGACAAGAAAAAGCTGAGAGAATTCAGCACCACCAAACCAGCTCTTCAACAAATACTAAAGGATCTTCTCTAGACAGGAAACACAGAAAGGTGGTATAAACATGAACCCCAAACAACAAAATAAATGGCAACGGGACCATACCTATCAATAATTACCTTAAATGTAAATGGGTTGAATGCCCCAACCAAAAGACAAAGGCTGGCTGAATGGATACAAAAGCAAGACCCCTATATATGCTGTCTACAAGAGACCCACCTCAAA